ACTAAAATAATTAAGGAAGTAAATAAAAGAAATAAGGTTTAAATGTTATAATATTGATAACTCTCCCCTATATATTTAACTTAAAGGGAATAATAAATTGGTTTAAAAAGGTTTAAAAAAACGGGCCATGTTTGTGTCGGATCTCGTGCTGTTTGGTCTTTTTAGTGCAATACTTTTAAATTGTCTTTTTGCAGTCAGATTTTAATTTTTTATTTAATTTTTTTAATTTAATTATTTTTTGAAGTAAATAATTAATTAGTTATGGGATTGTGAAATTTATAAAAACGTATCCCACATTCTAATATCGTAACTAAGAATATACTTCAATGTCTTAAAAACATTACAACAAATATCAGTTAAAAAAAATGTTCTAAACATAGCAGGTACTTAGTAATCTTTGACACAGCTACTTACATCTTGAATTGACTTTTCTTGAGAAAAACAAATTAAAGGCATGTTTTCGCTTTGGTATAGTGTAAATAACCATAGGAGCTTAAGAAAATATTTGTGTTTCAAATCAAAAACGACTTTGATTTTATTTATTTATATAAAAGAATGGATAGATAATTATTACCTACGTATGTGATTTCGCTCGAACAATAGTAATATATTATTCCTTTCAACTTTTTCTGAGTGAAAGTCACCTGAATCCTTTGTTGTATCTCTGGTAATGTGTAAAATCTTCAAAACGACCGGTAAAGAAGTTTACTTTTGCGATTATATATAAAACAAAACATCAAAACTAGATGTGTTTTTATATTTATTTATTTTATGTACTCGTAAGGCTTATTAACATAGGTTGGTTTTATTTACCTCTTTAAAATTTATTGCAGACATTAAATAAAATAAAAAAAACAGTTTGTAGGAAAATCATATTACAATCTTTAATAAACACAATTTAATATAACACAACTTTATTATATAATTTTATTATAATTCTCAAAATAATTCTAAACATACTCATATACTTATCATAAGTAAAAACCTAAGCTAGTTGTTTATACCGTACGGGACGTGCTTCATCAAACAATTTAGCAAAATTCACAGTTTTAATAATTTCAACTTAGTTTTTTAAATTTGCAAAGAATAAACATATTTTTTGTCATATTGACCATTATCTATTGTGTTAAACGAAGACGTTTATGTCAGCAAGCACTCAACAATATTCTTATACTATTCATCCAAACAATCTTAATTTCAATTGATATATTATGCCATTTTAACTAAGACATTCAATTGACTTGACTTTTTTTTTTTTTTTTTTTTTTTAAATTGGGACTAATCCCACCCACACGCCCACCACTGTAACTCCTGTACACCAGGATCCACAGCAGTGACCCACGAACACACCGAGTTATGACACTCGGGAAGTCCCAGGAAGAAATTAAACTGTCTTGGAACCCGCAACGAAATTAATCAGAAGAAAATTGGAGGAGTTGGAAATACAGTAAATCCACTTCCCTCCTTAGCAAAGCGGGAGACAAAATGAAGTAAAATAGGCATACACCCTTTTAAACAGGGAAGCACCACGGCCACAAAATATTACGGGTCCTACATGAGCTATATTTGATTTCTATAATATGTATGGCAGAATCGCCTAAACGCACGGAAATTCACCCTAGTTGACACAAGATCCCCATAGTATACCGCCCCAGATGTCACCTGCAAGCTATTCAGCATTATATTACGTTCATTATACCAAAGACTACATTCCCAGAGGATATGATGAGCAGACTGTTCATAATGAGAGTTAGGTGTTGAGCATTGACACAATGGTGACTCGACTAATTTAAATGAATACAACTTGCTCTTAAAGTTACCATGACCCGTAAGAAATTGAGCGACACAGTGATCCACCTCAAGCCATGTCCTCGACAACCGTTCGCGAACAGATGGAAAAAATTGGTAAAGATGGCGCCCCTTGGATGATTCGTCCCAGCGTTGCTGCCATTCGTCTATGAGGTCATTATAGACATCGGACTGCTGTTGAAGCAATCTTGTAATTTTACCGCGATCCCGCGCGCCCAAGAAATCGCATTCCATGTTTTGTCTTGAATAGTACATGGCTGCACGTCTCTGCACCTCGAGATCGACCGGAAGGACACCTGCCAACACCGGCAAAGCCTCAGTGCTAACCGTCCTATATGCCTTGCACAAAAATATCAGTGCCAGTCGTTGGCCTTGTAACAGTTTGCGACGGACAGCGCCTACGGTCGCCCTATCGGCCCATACAGGTGCACCATAGCACATAGAACCTAAATAAGTAGCTCCGTATATGATCTTTAATGTATTAAATGATAGACCCCATGTCGCAGTTGATATCCTTGTCAATGCACAGAAACTCTTTTTAGACTTTTCATTAACTATTTTAATATGTTCGATAAATGAAAAGTTTCTTTCTAAAACTAATCCTAGATAACACACTGTGGTTTTATTTTTTACAGTAACATTGTCAAATCTAATGCTCGGCGGTGATTTGAGGTTACCTTTTAAAAGTAACTGGAAGGTTTTGTTGGGTGCAAAAGTTAAGCGATTACGTTCACCCCATTGAGATATCAAGTTCAAACATCTATTGGCTAATCTCTCAAGCCCCGCCCTAGTATCAGATTCCACCAGTAATAAGCCGTCATCAGCATACGCGTTCAGAGTACATCCGGATGGTATTGGTATCGTAAGAAAATCGTCGAAGCCGATATTCCACAAGTATGGACCTAGCACCGATCCCTGAGGACATCCCATTGTAAGCGCCTTCGACACAGAATGATGACCAAGTCTTAGTTTAGTTGTACCTTGTGAAAAGTACGAAGAGATAAGGGAATAAATATTTTTAAAACACCCCCGTGATTTTAATTTCAGCAACAGCATGGGCCACCATGCGTTGTCGAAGGCGCCAGATATATCTAAGAAAATAGCCAGCACGTATTGAAATTTTGACTCTGTGACAAACTTTCTAACCGATATAACAGCGTCAGTTGTCGATTTACCCAACGTAAATCCAAATTGTCTATCATGAAATTTGACTCCACCTGGCAGAAGCCGGGGCACTACAAGACGTTCTAAAAGCTTTCCTAACGATGGTAACAATGTGATTGGTCGGTAGGATTTAGGATCATCCGGTGGCTTGTCGCCACTTTTTGGTATTATACGAATATTACCGCACCGCCATATACGAGGAAATATTCCTTCAGCAATGCAACGTTTAAAGACAGTGAAAATCGTGTCACCCGAAAGTTTACAAGCTTCTTTTATCATTTTGTTAGATATTTTATCATCACCCGAAGCCTTGTTTAGCGGCAAGGATCTAATGATACCGAGAAATTCGTCTGAAGATGGTAAATCAGACATTGGAGACAGTGGTGGTTCGATGGCCCACTGCCTGATCTGTCGGTGATGATCAGTGTCGTTTTCCGGTCGATCGTCAGGTACAAGTGAGTCTAAAAGATATTCTGCTGTTTGTTCTACTCCTGTGGTATATCTGTTATTAATTTTGATGTTCTGTATGTATGCGTGGTCGATTGATCTATTTGCCTTAAATTCGTGATACAAAGGTGACCACGGGCCCTCTCTATCGAGTTTATTAACAAGTTTCTGAATTAAGTTTCCCTTGGATTTTTCCACAGCAGCTCTGTAGTGGGACCTGGCAACTCTAAGAGCAATGAGAGCAATGTTGTACAAATCTCCTGTTACGTTATGTTTTTTAATAGTGTTTAATTTTCTACGAGCTTTCCGGTAGCTTCTACGTAGTTCGGCTAATCTATCATTCCAGACTTGACTTGACTTGACTTTGTAAAAAAGTTCTTATAAGGTTAAATCGATATGAGGATCACGTAACCACGACGTCAATAAAAGATTTATCAATTCTCAATTATCTTGACTGTTTTAATAAACTAATAGAGTGCCTAACAATAATTATTTGTAATTTTCTTGAAATTACTGAACTAAACAATCCTGTGAAGATTACGAGCAACTAATTCTTATAACTATGTCCCAGATATATATTTTGTAAATTATCGTAGACATGTAAGTCTACAAAATGTTATAACAACTAGGTATAAAACTATACAATTTCAATAAACTAAAATATTTTAATTCACGTAATTAATCTCCTTACAACTATTTATTACCTAAGACATTGCTTAGTACTTCATTTAGACTGGACTTATGACTAAAATAGTTTATGTACTTACTTGTGCGATTTATCTGTAGTGTGTGTGAAGCACTAGAAGAACAAGATTTTTAAATTAAAGAAAAAACATAAACAAATGATTACTCTAACGCAGCAGCACAATGTTTTATTTGTAAATATAAATCATGACACGAGAAGAAGCTGAGCAAACTTTATTTTTTGGTGAAGTGGATAAGAGCTCGTGCAGCGTGTCAGCGATATCGCGCGAATTCGGTCGCGTCGGTTCGCGGCGACTTCGAGCTACGAGAATTTTTTTAGTTAGCCCGGAATGACTTTACCTCTTTTTGAACAGTAAGCGAGCTTGTTATGATGTATGGGTTTATGCCCAACCCGTTTGCTTTGGAGAAGAGTGCGAAAGACGTATCGCTACCGTCTTGGCTTACATTAGCGCAAATAAAATGTTTGTTTCAATACATTTGTCCTATATAAACAACACATAATTAAACAACAATATATTCAATACTTACTCTAATCAGAATAATATGCATATAGATAGTCTTTGTTCATTTTATTTGTCTGGACGTCTGGAAAACTTCTAAGTTTTTGTTCTGCTTTCACAAATAATTTCCTTGAAGAATAGTTTTATGTGGTATTGTAAGTCGTTATTCTGTTAAAACTCTATTTTATAAAATTGATTTGTAATTTCGCTGGCAGTGAAAACCAAGACCTTTTTTAGAAACTGCCAAAAAGTGGCACGAATATAGCAACGACCTACACATGTAGATAAATATGTATACATAATGTATATTAATATAAAATGCATTACTATACAGTACAACGACTTAAACGTTAACCTAATGTTAAAATAAAGAAGTTACAATAAATGCTTCCTGATATCGTGAACCAAAAGACTCTTTAAGTAATTGTCATCGTTAGTGTAACATTCGATGATTTCGAAATGATCCATGCCGTCTTTTATCTCCAAATACATGTTCTGCATTAAGCATGTGTTGTGTAATATTTCGTAGAACTCTCTAGATTGTTTTTTAAACGTAGGGCTGTCGTGCTGCGCTGCTATGATGTAAAGACGCGCTCTTCTTTCTTGAATGTGAGTGTAGCTATCAAACTGTGGTGAGAGAGGTACCGCCCATTCACTTGGCATTTGGACCACGTCGTTGACATACGTGTGGACAACTTCTTGCAGGTCATAGACTCCAGAAATGAGGAACGCTCCTTGAAGACGATGTGAGCCAGGAGTATTCTCAAAGAGATCTGCGCTTGCGAGAACTTTAGCCACAAGGTGGGCTCCCGCTGAGTGACCCGCAAAGTATACTCCTCTGTAAATAGTCATTTAATATGTTAATACAGTTGTCAACTAAGCGTATGTACGCGTATGTTACTCAATCTATAATATGTATGTATTTAGAAATGTATAGGTGTGTTTATCAGTAGTCTGGTTACCATAGTATACAGGCTCTACCTAGTTTGGGATCAGACTGCAGTGTGTGAGTTATTATTATTTGCTGGTTATACGTTGAATCATTTTTTTTATATTATTTTTATACTATGCCATATAATTATGAATTATTGTTAACGAAAGTTTAATTTTTTCAAAAATGTTCGATATAAATTGACAAAGTCTTGTGCTCATGCTGAACTACACACAAACACAACTATCAATAATTAAAAGTAAAAATCCATGAAACTCTTTGGGAATAGAAGTGTTGTGGTTGAAGAATTTCAGCATATTCAAAGGTAAAATATGTGAACACAACGCAAATAAAATAAACTCAGAGCCCAGGGCGCATTTAGGTGAATAAATAAGTAATAAATTATTATCTACTAAAATCGTTACACTCTTCAACAGAAACATTACAGTAATCTCTTCAATAAACATAAAAAAATGAAGATAATTCTGTTTACGTAATATTCTCATTGTTATTCTCAACAGGAATTGTGAGGTACTTTATATCTGTCGTTTGTTCGGTTTAATACATTTATTTATCAGATAAAGGTTATCTTACTTGGAGCCCATTTTTTCAGCATACTCGAACACAAATCTCGCAGCGCTTCTTACTTGGCTCACGATATCGGGGAGGGTTGCGCTGGGGCATAGATCGTAGCCGATGACGATGGTTTTTACTTTGACTTTGTGTAAAGATAGCGCTGGATACCGCGAAATTTCACGGGACAGCTGTTGCCAATAACCACCATGAATGAAAACAAGGATTGGTGAATCTGAAACATTGTTAAACGGAAGCATTTTAACTACACACAGCGGTTCGAAAGCTTTTTTTAAGGATTTTGATGTTCAATTATTATAAAGAAATGACTGTTTTACCAAATATTAGGTTTTTTACTGTACATCCTTGTAACGTTTGAAACATTGACGTGCGATACACGTGCGATTTCGTCTTTGTAATTATAGCGTTTGTAAAGACCTTCTTTTATAAGCTACTTGAAAATAGATTTAAATTGCAACAATTTAGTTTTTTTATTAATTAATTTAGCGATACTATACTATGTACAAGAAAGGGTGCGCAAAGCTGACAGATATTATTAGTAATTCTTTTCGAGTCTCAGTTAAAGCGTTTTTGAGAAAAAATATTTATTTAACTTCAATCTTATAGTTGTCGCAATGTGACATGAAACATCATTAGTGTATGTGACTACATATTTGATTATAAATCTATTCGTTATCTATTTTTAGACATTTAAATGTAACTTGTCATAGCCATTAAGATCAATTAGCAGGCAAATAAATGAAATAAGTGATTAGAACACCATTATCAAAATAAGACAATCTGAATGCCAAATGTAAAGAAAATTATTTATTTAATTTTATTTAAATTTTAAAGTAAACTGAATGGTAGGCGGTATGATTATATCTTTGTTTTAAGACGCCTATTACATGAAACGGCAGGACGGTTTATTAGGGACAAGTCAGGTTTTTTCGGGCGCTATTGCAACAAAATTTCAGCGATAGAAGTTTTTATTTCCTTCACTACCGGTTGGTTGGTGGTTGGTAAATTCTTATTTATAAACATAAATATGTAAGTACATAAAAAAAAACATACCTTATTAATATACTCTTTTTTAAAAAGTAAAAGTTTATATAAAACTAAATATAGTAAGTTAAGGACGAGCAGTTACGATAAACCTGGCAAAAAGTAGCACAAATTGCTGGCTGGTAATGGAACTGGTTGAGAAACTTAGTTGAAATAGCAGTCAACAGAACTCAGATTAAGCCTGTCAATACTAGCCTAAGTTCGCCTAACATGCAACATAAACGCATTCTCGAACATTCGCATGCGCATTAATTTAGTTACTGCGCAATTTAAAGCCATGAACAAAAATATTATATTTTTTTGTTATATAATCTTATAAGTTATATTTTAATGGAATAGACATTTCACATTTTATTAATTTAAAAGTGTTCCACCTTTTTGTTGTTTCATCTGAATTAACGCTTATTGTTAGCCATAGACGCAATAAAGACCTTTGTCATTGTATTGACGTCGTTATTTTCAGTCACTCGCAATGAATGTATTTGTTAACTGTTTTACTGTTATGTTTTGACTGTATTTAATACATACTGCTTTTTTGTAATCAGACTCTTTCTAGTGTACTACTAGTAGACTGAGGTAGTAAAAGCCTTTTACTCGTCTTTGGGGGTGTGAGGGGCGAACCACCATCTTTCGCCCCAAGCCAACCTCACCTGCCCGCGGTGCATCCTGTTGAACGACGAACGAGGCTCTGGCGACCGACCGATGGCGGTATATCCATCCCAATAGGCGTAGCTAAATACAACAGGCCGGTGACGGGCAGCAGCGTTACCGGTGCGACAAGCTACGCCCTGCGATCGCCAACCCGCCTGCCCAGCGTGGCGATTATGGGCAAACCCTCCTCATGCATACGCAACAAAGGCCACGGCCCCCAGTTCCCGGCGGCCCCGCTATTCCTGGTCATGGTGGTGACCACGGTAAAGACGGGGCAGGGGGTGCGAAGAATCTCCGGGCTACGGGAGGCCACCGCAACCGATTTACCCTGGCTACGTACAACGGACGCACGCTACGGCTAGACTCGCATTTGGCGCAACTTGAGATGGAAATTGGGAAGATTAGGTGTCATATCCTAGGGCTATGTGAAGTCCGAAGAGGGGGGGAGGACACCATAACCCTCGAGTTAGGCCACCTAATGTACTTCCGCGAGGGAGATCAACAATCCCAAGGTGGCGTTGGGTTTCAGGTAAATAAGTCCCTATCTGACAACGCTGTGGAAATTTCCAGTGTGTCGAACAGAGTAGTCAAACTCACCGAGAGGTATAGCCTCAAGGTTGTGCAAGTGTACGTACCGACCTCGACACACTCGGACGACGAGGTGGAGGATATGTCCGATGAAATATCGAGGGCCCTACACTTCACAACTAAGACGCACTACAACGTTGTTATGGGTGACTTCAACGCTAAAGTGGGAGTACAGAATTGCGGCGAATCGGTAGTAGGATCCCATGGATTTGGAAGCAGGAATCATAGGGGGCCAATGCTGGTCAACTTCCTCGAACGGGAGGGGCTCTTTTTTTATTTCTTCAAGAAACAGCCTCAAAGGAGGTGGACGTGGCAAAGCCCCGACGCTATGACCAGAAGTGAGATCGATTTCATCATGACGGATAGAAAGCACATATTGAGAGACGTCTCAGTGATCAATAGGTTTAATATAGGTAGTGAGCACCGACTTGTCCGGGGCTCTCTGAATATCAACTTTAAGGTGGAACGTGTCTGTTTGATGAAATCCAGGCTCCGACCGACTCTGCTCCAAGCCATGACAGGATCTGAAACGTTCCAGTCAAAACTGAAAAACCGATTCGCTGCCGTGGAGACCAAAATCTACGTAAACCAGAACCTCGAAAATGTAGTTCGGATCCTCGGGGAAGAAGGTACGAGATTTTGTGAAATGCAGCGTAAGGGGCAGGAAGTCGAAGCTTTCAGAAAGGACCCTAGGGCTGATGAAGAAACGACGTGAAAACCCACCTGTCACTTTGTCGGCAAAGCGGACTCTAAACTGAGAGATCAGTAAACTCCTACGACACGACCTCCGGTGCTCCAATACTCTTTCAATTGAAAGAGTGATCGAGCAAAATCGGGGGTCAAAAGTGTTTGTACAATCTCTTGGAAGAAGCCACCTGACAAAGTTGACAACAGAGTGTGGAGAAGTCGTTGCTTCGAAGCCGGCAGTCCTTTTGGAAGTGGAAAGCTTCTATGGCCGGTTATACGCTTCGTATGCATCTCGACCTGATCCCGAAAATGAGGACTCTAGAGCCACACTAAACTCGTCTTTTACTACCTCAGTCTATGGCCAAGGTTACAGGGATGTAAAGGACGAAACCATCTAAGAAAGTACGGTAACCCAACAAATACTTGTAAAATCAGGTGTGTCATCTAAATTTGACAGAGCTCACTTATCAATTTTACTCAGAGTATTTGAGCTGGTAGTAGTAGAAATATAGAAAACAAAAAATATTAAATAAACAAATAATAAATGTATGATATAAATACTATTTATTATTTACTAACATTTCAAGTTTATCAAAAATGACAAACGACTCTAAGAAACACCGTATAAGATGTATAATATGTAATTAATAAACAGATGGGTGTTTGCTCCGTGGGCCTCACCAACAACCTGTCCACATTTAATTATTCCCCGTTCTGAAACTTAAACATTTAGTAGGTAATGCTAACACAATTTCGATGTTGTATGAACCAAAATGTTCAATTTAAAGTTTGATATTTTACAATTTATTAACGCGTCGGGTAAGAATAACGTTTATATTTGTGATTAAAACAGTTAATACTGCGTTGCAAGTGCTTTAGTTATTAAGTTTTATTATTTAATTTAAAGACACAATTAATTGTCTTAAACTTCAAACTACTTTTTTTTACTTCAAACTACGAAACATGGTTCAAAAGGATTAGACTAAGCTGTCTCTAAACTGTGTACTGTGCTCATTATGGTGTTCGAGTTTTCGCGAAGATTTAATCTTAAAATCTTACGGTCAGGTCACAGGTACCAGCTAAATGAGATATGACATACCAATTATGAAGTCACCATCTTTGTAATACGAGTAATCTGTTCTGGATTCCTGAATATTTCGAAAGTTATAAAGTGTCAGTTAATTAAACAATTTAGATTTTTAAGCTGATAGTCTAACAGTCTAAAACCGTATTTTGGTATAATTTCTTAATTATGCAGCATGAAGACTGTTCCAGCTGCCGCGCAACATTCTGCCAAGCCCATCAAGCACCTATTTGGCTTGGCACCAACTTCAAACAGACGAGAAGGGACTATTGCTATTATAATGTTACCTGTTATATTATAATTTTTGTGCTTAAATTTGTATTTTTTTTTTTAATTTTTAGTGCTTTTTGTTAGAATTGTATGAAGTCGGTTCAACTTTTTTTTAAAGGATTTATTTTACCATTTTCAGTGTAAGATATAATCGTAATGCGTAGATAAGTACGCTATTTAAAACACACCGTACCGTAATACATAGTACCAAACTAGAGGATGTTAGATTATATTAAATATAGTTTAATAACTCCGTTACTTATTTTAAATAAGGTAGTAAGATGTTATATTTGAACCTAAAAATATATTGTTTTACAGATTACTTTATTTTCATAAATTAAAAGGGGTATTTTTTCTTTGTAATGGAACTTAAGGTGAAATATACACTTCTAATTTTTTTTTTTTACTAAATGTTTTGTAATCTCATTTATTACTCTTTTGCACATAAATCTGTAACCTCGCAAAAGCACCTAACAAATGTCTTGAAAGAATAAAGCAAGGATACATGAATACATGATCAGATTTTTGAACAAGTTATTTTCTTACTCCTAAAGGCCTTGGCCAGGCAGGATCCTTGGATCCTTCTATCATCAGCTCAGCAACATGACATAACGGCTACTAAACGCAAACACCTACAAAGCTAGAGAAATAAGCTAAAACACGTTGACGATTTCTCTAGGATCCCATCATCACATCCTGATTTGGTGGTAACTGGACTTCAGGAGCATGGTTACAAAAAGATTTCAAACAAGATAACAAATATACAAAAAAAAAATACAGACGAATTGATAACCTCCTATTTTGTGTTTTAGAAGTCGGTTAAAAAGAAGGATTAGGTGCGCCCCATTGACATAAATAGTTCTGTTATCTGACGAGCTCTTAATTGCTATGCCTTTATGACTGTTCGGTGGCGCTATCCCAGATAATCTGCCCAGAAAATCTTTACACAGTCACGGACTCATATTAAGAAATAAGATGTTACATAATCTGTTTTAGTAATATTTGTATACTTACTTAAAGATTAGTCGTAGAAGTACATTGCTAGATTGTTGTAATAAGAAGAATATATGTAGTATGCGGTATTCATATTTGACGACTGAACAAAAGAGTTAATGTATTTCTTCTTAATTTACACTGATACTAATCAAACTGACAACAAAGATTTAATCAGATGACTGTTTAAACTTATAAATGTTTACAAAATTATTTTTAAGCTTAAAGTCAAACAAATGAGAAGCATCGAGATGTTTAAGATTTATAATACATAACTTTTCATAGTAGCCAATTAAGGCTTTTTACCCCGGTTTAAAAAATAGTCAACGTTCCGAATGTGACCGTTTTAATATAGATATATAAATCACAAGATTATTCTTATTTGATTGGTTTCTTTCCTTTAACAGTTAAACATGCAGTTTGAATGCAAAAGATAAAAATAGAAGCAATCTTGAAAAAGACGATCTAAAACTTTCTGATTTATTTGTGTACCTCTAAGATAATCATTTTATATTTTACAAGTCATTATCACATACCATTTGGTAAATCTGTTCCCATTATGTCCAGCTTCTGTCCAGGGGTAGATCCATATTCGATTTCCAATTTGTGTGGAATGTTGTTAGTCGCCTCATCACTGGCTATAAAAATTAAAATAAACTGTCAGTATTGGAATCACCATTAGAAATATTTAAAGTTTTCTATTGTTCGGTGATTCAAAACTACAAGTTCGTTACCGCGTGTTTGTGTTTAAACTGATTAAGTAAGTTTTTTATAAATTCAAAAGGTCACGTCTGTTAGTCTACCCTTTTCGAAATGGAATTTTATTTTTGATTAAAGTAAGGTTAGCAAAACTCTATGACAATGAATTAGTGACAATATTAGTATTAGGAGTTTGTAATAGCAAAGAATTATATTGGTAAAAATATAGCTTTAGGGCCCGTATAATAAAAGACGTCTCAACGTTGAGTTCGACGTCGGTTGAACTCTGATTGCCTGAAACTAGTTTTAAGTGCAGATCAAATCTTAAGTATCGATCTTATTATAGAACGCGTTTTAAGTTTTACTCAGTTGAAACTAGTTTCAAGTATTGATTTGAACTTACAGTCTGTTCTCAATTACGTTTCCGCATGATTGACATTATTAGTCCGCATTACGCAGCTAATTATTCAAAAAATAATTTTCTTTTACAAAAATAATTTCTGTGAATTTGTATATAATATACTATTGGCTAGTGTAGCAGTGTTAACATATTAACAAGCTTGTTGTTCGTTCAAAATTAAGGATAATAAATATTAAAATAAAAATGACTAGCTGTATGAATAGGCTATAACGGAACGTTCAAGTTATTTATCAACACTTGTCATATTGAAATGTCAAACGATGTCTTTATTTGATATTTCTAAAATTTATAATACTATACTTTTAACATAAACCAAAAGGTTGTGGTAATTAAAACTGGTATTGTGTGTGTAAAATGTGAATTTTGGTGAATTTCATATCAATTAAGGTAAATTAATGTGAAATGATTATAGTATGCCAAGTAATTCTTTCGTAAATAAAGTAAAGTAAATCTTTCGAAATTATTCAAAAACAAATCATCGTAAAACACATTCATTTCCCAAAAATGCCCTAGAAATCACCGCTTGAGACTAGTTTCAGCTTGTCTCACGTAAACAAAGATCACAGATGTCAAAATCTATACCTGAGTAATGATTTCGACATAAACATCGTTTTAAAATAAGCTATCACTCACTTGAGTATGGAGTGGTGAATCTCGTTTTAAGTGACGTTCAATAATAAAATCTCCACTTAAAATTAGTTTTAAGACTAGATTCACGACTGAGACAACTTTTTAAAATACGGGCCTAGGTTCCTAGTTTGCATTTATTTGAGTCGTTATTTCTTTACAAAGTGGAGTAACAGACACGTAACTTACTAATAATTATGTAATCGGATTAATATCTTTTTAAAGAAAGACAACACGAACATCAACAAACGAGACAAGAGTTAGGCGATAGAAAGAATGGAAAAGGTAATAATAATGATTGTTTTTTTTTCTCTTGCACAGAATAATTCCAATTATTCCATCTTAACTAGGAGTTATGAGTTTGGTTAGGTGAATCTGTGCGAGAGACCAGCATCTGCGCTAGGAGGACCTGTGTGACAGATTTACCAGCTTCTCCAACTCTAAACAAGTTACCTTTCTGAAGTTAAAGAATGTTTTTTCTGTTATCTATGATGATGATGAGAGATGTGAAATAAAACTAATAAATGAATATGATAATAAACAGGTAAATATAAGTCAAGGTATGCTAAGTCTAATCAACACTGTGCAATAGTTGCCGTTTATTATTACAATATCTTTCATTGTTTAGTATTTATAGGTACTGATAACAGCTTAGTGAGTCGCATTCTTGCTTGATATAATAAAACCGGCCAAGGGCGAGTTGGACTAGCGCACGAAGGGTTCCGTACCATAATCTATTAAAACGGCAAAAAAACACGTTTTTTGTATGGTAGCCCCCTTAAATATTTATTTTATTCTGTTCTTAGTATTTGATGTTATAGCTGCAACAGAAATACATCAGATGTGAAAATTTCAAATGTCTAAGTCGTGAGAGACGGACAGATCGACAGACAGACGGACAGCGGAGTTTTAGTAATAGAGTCCCGTTTTACCCTTTGGGTACGGAATCCTAAAAAGCAAATCGCATGGTGATAAAAACTGATTATAATCTTTTAGTTACCTGCAGTGACATAGTCTACGTGATTTTCATATACTTCGTTGGGTGTGGTGAATCTCGGCGACCACCTACTTGGAGAGTACTCCCTGTCGAGGTCTATGGCTTCTAGTATCACGGACATATTTGCTTGAGGTTGCACCTAAAAATAGACATTAACCAATATTATTATAGCACTTAAAAACTTGACAATTAAAGTTAAAGAAATTAGTGTTAATAATATCATAATAGAGATGTACGAGTAGTTACTACTAATTACGAATTAACGTACATTCGTAACAATATTGTACATTTGCCCTCATTTTTTGAGGTTCTGAGTCTATTTACTTAGTTCTGAAAGATAGTCTAACTTTATAATCAAATTATATCCGTTAAACCAATAAAATAACACGGCGTGTCAGAAATCAAAAGTCATCGTAACAAGTGATAATCATGTGAAGTAGAGATAAAATGAAATAACTCCATGGATGTACAATTGATGCACTCTTGCGCATTCGTGGTGCGTGTACCCGCTTATTGTTAAAAATTCATAACCATTGTCTGATTATGAATTATTAACAATAAGCGGGTAAGAAATTGTCTTTAAAAATTTTATTAGCCTGTTGTTAACTAGATAATTAGTTCAAAGATTAATTATCTTAGAGGACATTGATAATGTTAACAATACTAACTTTTAAACTATCACGTTTCATAACAGTACCACAGTAATTGATTAGGATAAAATAGAATTTACAAAAAAAGTACACCATTTAAATTAAAATCGATCTTAACTTTAATATTAGATACAACAAAAGGTCTTATCGCTGATAGCGATCTTTTTAGGAGTTAGTGATAGCTGACGGTGAACATGCATTCAAACATACTTGCACTTATACTCGTATGTAGAACTAAATTATAAGCAATCATATACACACAAATACTTAGGAAATAGATATATCAAAACTATTATGACCGTATTTCGTAAGCCGCAGCTTTTAACTATTGATTTAAAGACATGACTGTATGGAATGAGATAGATTTTATCGATTGACAATGCATTCTACAATGATATTGCTACAACGTTATAATGGAACGATGTAGACTAGAAAATGTATGACTATTTATATTATGAAGAAACTAAAACCTTAAGGTACTCATGTTTTACTCATAAAGGCGATGTGCCTTTACGAGTAAAACATGAGTAGTCCAACAAAATATCCCTAGTTATTTTAATCAGTTCTCTCTAATTCTAATTCTCTCTAATCTTACAACAAGTCATTACACTAATTATTATTAGTGTTTTGTGTTTTCTTTGTAGGGTTTTGTTTGATTTTGTTGTAAGATTAATACCAATTATTTCTTCACAACAAGAAGAATAAGACAACTCGTGAAGTAAGTGGCTGCGATTGTGTTGGCTTTTGGTTGCCTTTCCAGCGTAGGTATTGTTTACATAATACCTTTTGTATATCATAATACACCACATTAATACGGTTTTTGTTGTTTTATTCAGTGTAGTGTTGTTGGCAAATTCATTAAACTATGAGTGTTTTTGGAATTAGATTATTTAGAATTTCAAATTCAGAAAAATTAAGGTTCCATTGCGTGCTCAATGATTCAATGTTTTATTCTATTGTTTCGTTTAAAAACCGTGATCCTAATATTAATTATGATAATTATATTCATTTGAGAAAAAAACAAAATTAATTAACTGTGCCTGAAACCCTTCGAATTGACAACAAATTGGTTTACCATTTTTATAATTGTAAGCGAATTTGAAAAAAATAAATTACTTGTAACTTTTTATACATAGATATTCTAAGCGATAACTTAGCTACGAGAGCTATTTAATTTCCGGGTACACAACATACTTGGAAAAATGTGAAACATTTGTTTTTTTTTTGTAAATTCCATTGAATGAGAGATGTACTATAGTATAGCCAAAAAGTTAAGATTATCGCGTTTTATGCCTTATCGCGTTTATGATATGCAATTTCTTTAAGGTTTACGGTTTTACACGTTACGGCTTCATAGTTTCTTCGTAGTATTTACAGATTCTATAGAGCTGTAATTTTTTACCAATAATAATAGTTAAATGTGTCGTAGTAAAAACGAAAGGAAACACAGAAAAGAATAATTCAACGTTATATGACATTTCCTTTACTTTGTAATGTAAAGCCATTGACTAGTAATTTAAATTCAAAAATGATTCTGTTTGTTTGTTATATTTTCACGCCTTAATTACTTTACGAATCACTATGAAATTGAAATTGATAACAGAATTTATGGAGGTACCTTTTTTTTGGTGACTGGATGGAAAATTCATTCGGATCTCCGGCTCCTTTGGGATACAGGAGCCAGGAGTATGTGGTGTTTCCAGTAAAAACCACCCGAGAGGGGAAGAAAGTAGCTTCCCCCTGCCTATCAGCTTATTTCACGATCACATTTTTGGTGCGATCAGGCCACTATCCTATCTCCTACCACAGCAATCGGTGGCTTATACCGCCACCGACGTCTTCTTCGGTCGGTATCGGCCCTCCCGTTCAGCGGTCTCTTTCTGGAGCATTACAGCTTCACAGAAAGAAGCCACTGCGCCTCACCTTCTTCACCCGCCAGCATTGCGGTAATGATTGCTGGCGAGGATAGGTCTCGTCCGATTTGGTCAACCAAGACTTTGGCATTGTACCGTCTCCTCGCGTCCAATCCGATTCAGGTACTCACCGAATGATTATGGTGGGTACCTCGAAATAAAATTCCCGAGGGATAGTAAGGTGATTTATGAAATCTACATGCTATATGAAAAAAAAAATTAGGCAAACTGTTCAAAGCCTGTACAATGTTATGGTAATGGCTTTTAATAAACATATTTCTTAATCGTATTCGTTTTTCTACTAATCTCCTATTATTTTGAAGGTAGGCGCAACGTGCAAAATCACAAATATATTTGGTTGGTTTATTTTATAGTCAGCCAACCCAATTTTTCTTTAGTTGTAGTCCTTTTTAAAAAGGGATAAGAAAAAAGATAAATAATAGATAAATAATAATAGGAATGAATAGCGCGATGCAGTTAGGTTAAAGGGTATAAATACTCTCGGGCTGGCACTACTCTCGGGAGGAGCACTATTGTGTCCATCCTAGGACAGGAGGAGCCACCAAGACAGGGCATCAAGAAACTAACTAAATACATACATATTATAAATAAATAACACACAGTCATAAATAAAAGACCGCGCTTATCACACACACAATCGTTTTGAAATTAAATCGAACCCACCACCTCTGGCTCAACAATCAGTATCACTAACCACTAAATAAACGAACACATAAAGACGAAATACTACCTTTGATTGACACGAAAATTTTTATTATTTAAAACTTTACAAGAGTTTTTAATAATTATTCATTAACGTTCTAAGTATACAAACCATGAAATTTGTTGTTTCATGTGACATAGCCTCATCTCCTGTAGTATTTCTCAAAGTCGCATTTTTTTTACTTCTTTCATGAATGTAAGCTTTTTCTTTTGTTTATACTACAACACAATTTAATAAAGACAACAGATACTATATCCATTTATTAAGGTAAAAACAATACCTTTGCCGCAGTCTTAGACCTTCTGCTCAGCAATCTGGACCGAATCTCTTTAAACAATATTAGGCACACCGATCTCACTCTACACAACGCACACTTCATAACTGAGTCTGGATCCAAGGCAGACTATACTAGAAACATTATCGCTATATTATCAGTAAATACAACTGTTCCTAAACATCAACAAGTTTTCGATAAACTGTTTATACCAACATAGTTATCATCAAATAATTACATCACACCGCTGATGTCTTATCTTAGAACCACTTATCTTTGTGCTAAATAAACAATGTTTTGTACAATATAACAGCACTAGTATTGCGGATACTACCATATATTCTACCTCGTTGGTACTGAACCGTGTAAAATAAGCGAATGAGTCTATTTAATATCAATGTACCTTCACACTCCAATAGTTAACTGGAATTCTATGGACGGAATTGTAGTACGTCTACATCGTTTTACGTTTCTTTAGACTGTAGTTTTACTGTCGTTAATTTACTTAAAATCGTGACAAGTAGAAGTAAAAAAGTGTCACTTACTTACTTATTGGTTTTAGGTACTTATTTAACACAATAGAAACTGATTTACTTAGAAAAAAAAATCTATCGCAATCATTTCATTGAATGTAATGTATGTAACAGTAACTGAAATGAATCAAAATAACAGATCAAAATAAAGTATTATATAAGTGGCTTTTGTGAAATGCTTTATGTTGAATCTATTGTATTTGCATAGTAATTACGTACTTTTAATCGATCATATCCGAGTATGTAAATATCATTATTAAGTATGTTTACCTTATCCCACAAATATACATATACATTAGAATACATTAGATATGAGATCTAATGAATTCTAATGTATATGTAAATAACCGAGTGAATCATAATGTCATAATTCATCATAATTCAATAACTTGTGAAGTCGATAACTTAAATAAAGCAATAGAAAAGTATTAGATCAAACTATTATTTACATGGTTTTGATAATATGAGTTGAAAGTTTTTGCAGGTGATGACTTAAAATTCGTTATTAATTTTTGAAAGTAATTGCATTATGTAAACCAATTTTAATCTAAAAAAGGTGGAGATACTCATTTGTTAAGATATACACATATATGATATCAAATATGCATGGTGAATCTCTTAAAGTTATTACCTCTTTGTACCTAAGTGACAATAAGAAATAAATTTAAAAAATAGTTTGCAAAGTATTTCTTAAAATAATAATTAATTAATAGATTATAACATTCTCATGTTATAATCTATTAAGCGCGCTTATTGGCCAGCGAGGCGCGCGCTTTTCTTCCTGACACCTTTTGACACACATCCGTCCCTATTTACAGAATTACTCCCAGAGATTGCAGGAAAACATGAGAAAAGATGCTGCTCATCTAAAAATAATATGACTGACTTTAAATCATAAAAACGTCAAAGGTTTTAAATTGTCCACTTAGACGTTCATTTACACTTTAAAACCCTTGACATTTTTATAATTATACTTGTAACTAGGTACTAGTTTCCAATAAAATATGAATCATTAAAATCCATGAAGACATAATGTAATGTTCGGGTCGAAACTAACTACATTCGATTTTTTGTCGCTACTTTGATACTAACCTACAGTAGGACCGTTAAGAAAATAAAATTTCAAATCTATACGATAAATTCAAACATCGAAAGTATCTCTGGCAAACAGTAATATGAAATTTGTAGGAAATTGTGTCACCGAAACTCAACTTCAGACGGTCCAAATTTTACGGATCGTAAATTTTGTACCGTAAGCCCATAACTGTTACGAGTATGCGTGGGATACATTATGTCCTGATTTTTATACTGCCCTATATTAACTGCAACATGTAAAATTGCGTTTTTCAGTACCAACTAAATTTATTCCGTAAATAGTTAATATGGACTTGTAAAAGTGCAATAATATTAGTGTGTGAGTCCTATAAGAAGAGACATTTGTCTTCCAATTCACGTGTGTTATGTTAAAGACGAAGTAGCTACAGGCCTCTTCAGGATAAACCTATTCACTCTACTCTTTAAGGGTTCCAGAATTATTTTCTGTAAAGTGGAAGTGGTTTGTTAATTTTATTATATTTATATTTTTTGGCGTTGACTCAAGAGTATTCAGATACATAGATTAGTGTTAGAGCTAAGTCAAATTACATTTTTGAGTTTCTTGGTTTAAATTGTTTCAAATTTCAACATTGATGAATTCAATACTTTATGCGTGTTATAAGATAAATGTTATAAAATAATTACACTGAAGGCAATCAATACCAACTGTATGTCATTAATCATTATCAGACCAGAGGTAGGACGTCCTCTGCCAAACACTGGCTTCCTTTAACAACCAGTCTTTTAGGCGTTATTAAAGGAGGCAGAATCTATGCAATTACTCCTGAATAATTTTATTATTGTGTAATTACTCTGATGAATGATAAAACTTTTCATTGCATATTTTTTCTCGTGGCAAAAACCAACTACTGAAAATCTGATTAGAATAATTGAGGAAAAAACCTCGATCAGTATATTGTTTTTATTGGCATATAATTAAGTTATTTAATATGACCTTTTAGAAGGGAACAATCAACTATTGGTTTAATGGCGTCTATCTATAGTTTTAGTTTAAAACAGTATCAATATACTTTATTAAAATTATCTTGTAACAATAAACCATTATCTTAAATTAACTGTTTGTAGATAATTTGAATATCCAAAATAATGACGGCAAACAGAAATATTGTGTAATAAATTACAATGGTTGCATGACAACAGCCCCGGTAACAAGACCCTCCCTTCTATTAATCATTGCAAATATTTTAACAGAAACCCAGTTTTACATAAGTGAGACATTCGAAGGCCTACAAAATTGTATGCCGACTAATTTAGAGTGTAATTACACGGATAAGAGGCACGCTCCAATTAAATAAATCTATCTTCTTTATTTTAACTAAAATCACCCCGAGACTAAATAAATTTGGTCACTAAATTTATTTACGAATTCAGTGCATTCATAAAAACACGAGTACACCAAAATTAGGTTTGTTCCCTTGTTGAAACTTAACCTACTGAGGTTAGGTTTGTTTTTCAAACTCCAATGCAAAGCAATTATTTTGTGTTGGCGGGAATAAATGTATTCGAGCCACCGAAGACTCACTGCACATATGGCGCAGTGGTTTAAGTGGTCGCCACGCCGCTTCCTACTGCGCCGAGTGTTGTGGGTTCAAACCCCACATGGGACGACACTTTGTGTGATCCACAAATTGTTGTTCTGAGTCTGGATGTTCTTTGTGTCCGTTTCATGTATGTTTGTAAAGTCCCCCGCGACACAGGATATATTCCTAATGCGGGAGTTGTCTTTTAAAAAAAAAAAAAAAAAATAGTTTTTTTATCTAATTGATGACTAACTGCCAATGCACTAGCAAACATGAAGTGAGAGCAATCGCAGTGATGATTCAGTTTTACTAACAGATAAAAAACCGATAGGAAAGGACCCTTATAAGAACAAGCATATCAAGCTAAATTGAACCTACGAGTAATATGTTGAATGTAAAATAATTGTCTGATTAAGGCCGTTTTCTAAGTTTGCTGTCCCATTGTGTAATTTACATTCCAAATGGATTCTAAAATAAAGTGCTCTAATATTCTTTAAAGATAGATAGCTTTATTCGTGACTTATATAAATAAAAAAGAATAACCCATATTAATAATAGCTTTTTTTTCATATTCCAGATTTCATATCGAAAAATAGTGTCGCCTTGTTAATTAGCGTCTCAGTACTAACAACAATCACTAACGCAATGCGACATTATCGGAAGCGTATTGAACTTTGAGTACCGAAAATTTTTTTAGGTAGTATTTTGTTTGAGTTCGTGTACAATGTTATGTTTCCTACTAATGGTAAATGTTTTTTCTTTGTTATATTTATATATTAATAAGTGACAAATCTTTTCAAACATAATATATATCGCGCGGAAGTACAATTATTTTTGGAATAGGTAGGTAATTATCTAAACTAATATTATAAAGAGCAAAGATTTGTTTGTTTATTTGTTGGTTTGTTACGACTTAATTCAAAAATTTTAAAAATTCGTTCACCGTTAGAAAGCTACATCTTTACCGAGTGACATAGGCTATATTTATTTACAAAAATAATTAGGGATCCCTACTAAAACTTGAATAATGTGACCCAAGGTGTAAAATTATTTGTCAAAAATGTCTCTCATCGCATGCGCTGCTTAAACTATTGATGATAAAACAAAACAATGTACAATATTAAAGAATATATAAATATCTTTAAAACAGTCCGCGATAGCATATGCCTATCTCCGACAGATAACTCACAATAACTACTTTTACTATTAACATTTTAGATTAAAAAGAATGATTTTTTGGGAGTTTATTTAACCCATATGGAATACCATGTGGGTTACATAAACTTATATCTAAATAAATATGTTTGTTAGAATATAAATTTAATATATAATATTTGTTTCCTTATTTCTATATACTTTAAACAAATATCTTAGAAGATATCGCAATATAAAAATATTCGAGCGACAAAATAATTAGACTTACGAAAAGAGTATTTTACTCATGGCCAACTGTATGCTGGCTTATCGCGAGTTGGAGCTCCCGAAAAACAATATATTTTATTATCCCATAATAATGTAACATCAAATGTCGTTTACAGAGAAGCTCTAAATAATTAAATATTAATCCTTCTTATGGAATCACACCCGTGCGAAGCCGGGGCGGGCTGCTAGTTGTATATATATCGGTAAAGTGCAGAAAGCTACAATTGTTAACAACACGTACTATAAAGTTCAAAATTATGTAAAACATCTAAAATGATGTCCATTAAAATATTTGACGTATGAGTCTGTACAATGACAGTTCAAGTTGTACTGGTTATATTTAAACAACACTTTATACTCGTAGCATAGTACTTACGTAGACTTTGTAACAATTTTATTTTAGACGTTGGTGCAATTTCAATTAAAAATCATGGAATTTACAACTTTTTACGATATCAGAGTGTAATTAATGTTTAACTCATAGCACAAACACAAACATCTATACCACATAAGA